CGTCCACACTGAGGCTACGTCCACACTGAGGCTACGTCCACACGAATACGCTTTGGTTTGAAAACGCATCTTCTTGGCCTCCCGTCCACACTGAGACGCCGTTTGCAGAAACCTTTGGAAACGTTCTCCAAAGCGGACACATTTGAAAACCCAGTTTTCGCATTGCGGTGTGGACAGCGAACCCCGAGCCTTTTCAAAAACGATGACACATTTTAGTCATGTGATGCAGTCATGTGACCAATGAAACTAAGATAGTGGAGGGCATTATACAGCAGGTGTTTGACAGCCTTATTAAAGATTAATATCAGTCTGTAGATGCTCCACAGAGCTTTTCCTCAAATTCTTTAACTCTCACTCGCTTTTGCAACTTTGTACTTTTGTGTTACTCGCAGCAACAACTCCACCTCATTGTGAGTCCGTTTAAATAACTCGGTGCTTTCCCTCGACATTCTGCCGCGACGTTACAAAGAGCTGGAAACTAATAAACGGCAGACAGAAATGAAGCTTCTTGTGTTTCACGCATGTGCAGGACTGGACCGTAAGCGCTTCAGTTGTTTCAATGTGGACGCACAACTCTGTGAAAACGACTGAAAGCACCAGTGTGGACGCGGAGCGCTTTCAGACATTTTCAAACTTATCCGGGCGAGTGTGGACGGAGCCAAAGTCATCGAAGCAGCCACGGCGCCCCCAGTGGAACACCCTGCTGCGGGTTTAAGTAAATGATTGCTGGTTCAATTCCAGCCGGGGACACAAACCCCCTTTGTGTAACCAAGCACTGCTACAGCACAGCAAACAGCAGCTTCCTGTATCCAAGTAAGGCATGGACATTTACTCACGACCCTCACACACCTCTCTCAGGGTGGGAACGTGGACTTTACAGCCCAGTAAACCCAGTAAATCGTCCTCATCACTGCTGACCTGACGTCCCACAAACCCGAGAAACTCAAGCAAACTTTGGTCACTTTGGGTTTCAAGTACTTTGTCTGAGTTACTGGGAATTTACACTTTGGATGGAAATTCAATCCACAGCTGCGCAGCGACCTCCCACCCTGCACCGTAACCTTCATCAAAGTGTAACTGAAAATCAGGGCGATGCAACAACTGCGATTGTACAATTCCTATAAAAACATTATCACTGTACCTGCTGGAAGCCTACAGAGAAACAGCGTTGCTCCGGTGAAAAGTCTGCTTAAACCTAAAGTTAAAAGATTTTGGATTAGACACGACAATGATGTTTAATCTGAATACCGACGCCAACAAACTGATGCTGAGGCACATTCGCTTCACACCAAAATCACCACAAGCCTTCACAGCATCACCAGGGTTCATCTTGGCAGCTTTTATTGTGAAAAGCTGCCACAGGATGTAGCCGAGTTTTTGTTAAAAGCATGCTGCACACCATACGAGGTGAAACCACACGAAACTCTGACCTAAGAAGTGTTCCAAACCGGGCCAGTCCATGCCTGTCCTACCTGTCTCCTGGACAACAGGCTGCACTTCCTTCTGTGCACGTGTCACTTCCTCCTCCCGCTTCACGCCTCCTAAACGAGCCAAACCCGACCAGGTGAGAGCCAAACCTAAAATGAACCAAACCTCATGCATGCCTCAGTCCTACCTGTCTCCTGCAGCAGAGGCTGCGTTTCATCCTCTAACAGCGGCTCCACCTCCTCTTCAGTGTACATCACCTCCTCCACCTCCTCCTCCTCCTCGGCGTGGATCTCCTCTACATGAGCTGCACCAGGAGAGGAGGTGTAGGAGGTGCCGTAGTGGCGGTATCGCTCCATGGGTGGAAGCACCACACTAAACCAGCATCAAAAACATTAAAAACAGAAAGTGAAGCTCCTTCACGCACAAGATGAAACTGACCTGCAGGACAAAACCTGAAGACGTCACAGACCGAAGATTAACGCACCAAAACTATCGGAGTCTTCTCAACCAGGTGACGGCGTGCTTGAAGAAAACAAGCAGCTTTAAAAGTTCGAGGAGGAACTCAACGAAGTGACAGAAGGAGACAAAAACAATCCGAAAGAACAAAGACTCTAAACGAACGATCGTCAAAAAGCTTCAGCGACTCTCAGCGTCTCCGAGCAAAGACAAAGAGTGAAGGAGCTCCTCCTCCTCTTCCTCCCAGCAGCACAGGGATTGTGACGGGCTGCTGAACCTGATCCACACTATTATTAGAGCTGACAAACCCTGCGACGCTGGCTGAGAGATGCCAGAGAGGACAGAATAGCCCCCGCATAACCTTGACACCAGCATTTCTGGACTCTCTCAGCTGTTGCGGCGTTTCAGAAATAATCAGCAGGTAGTACGGCCACGCCAGAAAAACCAAGGTGCTGTACTGGTCCTGAACCACAGCAGGGAACCAATGATTGTTGGGGCTCTGAGTGAAGTGGGTGTTAATGGTGGATAACACCCCCATAAGTGTGGCAGTTTTGCAAGCAGAGCGCGTTTCCCCCTGAATACAAATATTTTTGGATGACCTGTTTTAAAGACGAGATCCGAGAACACAAACGGCAGTTCAAGCGCTCGCGATGGTTCAAACACAAGAGTAACGACGGTATCAGCAGGTATGACCCACAGGTTCAGGCTCCGGACGACCAGAGGTCAGAGGTCAATGTACGGTCCGACTCAGGCTGACAACGTTTACTCTCGAGGTCTTTATGCACCAAACGCATAAAATGGGTCAAATAATTTCATGTGTTAAAGATATTTTCCTGCTCTTAATGCATCGCCAACAGCGTAATTTAATAGGACGAATTTGAGGCACTTCAGTTTTTTGGATCGTGCTCGATTTTTCATATTTAATAAACAGACCTGACCAATCACATCACTGCGTTTGGCGCTCGTGACTCGAAGCGCCTACTGGTACTGAATATACAACGAAATGGAAACAGCACAATAGTGTAATCTTGCAGACTAAGAGAACAAGTGTGATAGTGGTGCACTGATGAGCACAGCTTATCTTTCCAGCGCTGACTCGGCTGCCTGTATAAAAACCAACCTGTGTCGTTTTACAGTAAAGCTGCTGCCCTTCAGCAACTATATCACTATTTGTGAAGCAACTTCTGGAATTGCCAACTTGATTCTAATGAACTGATAGCAGAGCCACTCAGCTGTATTACCCTTTTATCTCCACCTCGACCCACCAAAGTCACTCTGAAGACAGCAGCTGACTGTGAGTGGTCCGTCTCCTTAGCAACAACACTGGAAGCTGATTGGAAATCACAACGATTTTGTTTGTGGTCTCCAGCCACCTTTTAAACAGCAGCTGAACAAGTACATCAAAAGCCAGCTGTTCCAGGTGCTTTTATATTCAGCCAAGATTTCCTCACAGTGGTCGGAAAATTATTCCCAGTGCTCATATCACAGGTTTACAAGCTCGCACCAGCGTGGAGGGTTGCACATGATGTTTGGGCATTTGGACACATGAAAAATAAAGAGGCTCTAATAACACATGTGTGTATGTGTGTGTGTGTGTGGGGGGGGGGGGGGGGGGGGGGCACTCTTCATGGTTTGTGAAAAAAAACTTCCTGTTTGTATTAACAACCATGAAGAGGCTGCTCTGGTCTTAGAGTACCTCATTACAGCCAGTTCTGCTTTTATGTGATAAGAACCTTACGATCCATCACTCGTCACTGTGTGTGTGTGTTTATATTTGTGTGTGCGTGTCAGAGTTGTGTGTGCACACAGTCACGGATGTCAAACGGGTGTTATTCTTGCTCTCACCTGATCGAACAGATGTTTGCATGTGTTGTTACAAATGGAAAGCATGTGTGAGAGAAACGTGGAGGTAACACTGTTGGATGTTTAAAAGCTAAAATGTGACAGCAGCAGCAGTGAGCACTTTGTAACACCCAACAGAAACAGCAACATTTATCTTTGATGTGAAATTATATGTGTTTGTATTTCAGGCTTTTGGGGACCCTGTGTAAAGACCTCAGACTGTCTCAGGAATGTCAGTGAAAGCATGATTCATGTGTTTTTGCCCTTTAAATTAATTACAGACTGCAGTGAGGAATAACCCGGTTTATATCGGGCTTATAAATGTGTAAATAATGAGCGGGGCCAGTAAACTCCCGCACAGAGAACAGAGATAACATGAACCCCTCACTGCTGCCTGGGAGAAAGTTAGCTGCCGTTAGCAGGCTGTTATTGATGGGGGCTAGGTTAGCTTAGCGTCGTTTCCACGGCCACTTTCATGTTACCGATGGGCAATGAAGCTATAATCACACAGAGCATGCCGGGATTTATCAGGGAGGTTAAACTGGGAGTCTGCTTTATTGTGATCATTTAGCAGCGCTAGCAGAGAAAGGGGCGAAACCAGTCCCGCTCTCTTGTATCGCGAGAACATCCAACCAGACCCCATTGAAAATTCTTCCAGTCGAATATGCATTTGTTTAGAGACGGCGCTACAAGTTATAAACATAAAATACGACATCTGGGGGAATATTTAAAAACCACTTCTCCACTCGGCTTCAGTAAAATACAGCAATTGTGATGCGTTTATTATAATTAGATATTTAACAGCATGTTAATGACGCTTCAGGACGCCAGGCAGTGCGCACTTTTCGCTGTTGGAACCACGGGAGATCTACCTCCGAAAGTAGGAGTCTACGTTATATTTTGTATTAGTGTATTAGCCGAATCGAAGAACTAATCTTATGGATTAAAAATATATTCTCGCTTTTGATGTACTACACGCGATCCTTTCCAAAGACTGAAAATAGCTATAAACTGCAGAATGTTAAACGGAAGTCTGAATTAGAGACACAGGCGGGAGAACCCAGTCAGATAAAGGGTACGTACCTTTTTTTGAGTGGTTTCTGGGATTCTTTCTCTGCGCCATTGCTTCGTAAAGTATCCGATGTTTGTTTCAGTCAAGCAGCGATGAGGTGACTCTCTAACCTGGCCGTGGTTGTCGCGGTGAAAGCTCCTGTTCGCTTTCTGCTCTCCGCTCTGTGCGATGGAGCGACGCGTTCACCAAAAATCACGTCCTCACTTGGATACCAGCAAAGCCAAAGTCCATGGTAACCGTGATTGGCTTAGTAGTTCACAAATCAGAGCTGCCTAATGAGTGTGTGGGTGGGGCAACAGGCGGGTTCTTGTGTTTTCTCACCAATCAGATTCCTGCGCTGCTTCCCAGTGTCGTTCCTCCCTCTGGAGAGGAGCAAAAACGTGGCAGAAGAGGGAGAGGAGTTTTAAACATCGGGGCGGAGGGACACAGCTAATGGGGGTTTTAATAACCTTTATTGATAGCGTTGTTACGGTTTAAAGTTAACATTGAATAAAGCAGGTTTTAAATTAGATCATAAGAACGGAAACGCGATGAAGTAAATAAAATACTTTCATTGACTTTTAGGAAACTATTTCTTGTTGTTTGATTATTTATTTTATGGTCTATATAAATAGCCCACTCAGAGCTGAAGTAATGGTCTATTATTGATTTAGGGTTATAAATGAAACAAGTGGTGCAGACAAACTACGCTGAGGGAGCAGAAATGAAAAAACAAATGCACCAGAAGTCTCCACAAAACTCCCAGAAACCCACCACCTCTGCTGAGATGGCACAAAAACGTTTCTCCTGTTTGTGATGCTAAAACGCCTCACAGTCAGTCACCGGAAACTCTTAGTTCACCTCTTATTGCAAAATATAAACAGACCCAGTTAATAATACAACAATTGTTTTATTGAAGGTGGGGGAGCAAGCTGGCATGTAGTAAATGTGATTGTCCACTAGATGGAGACAAACACAGAGGAACACTGAGCCGTATCTCTGCAGCTGAGTAAAGAGAACCTTTATTTAACTTTTAATAGTACACTAATAGTTCTGCCTATCATAAACAGGTGCAGCTCAACAGTGCATCAATTCCAGCCTAAAGTCTGGCCATGCTCCCCAAGAATGAATGATTTCTGTCCTGCAGTGGGGAAAAAAGAAAGAAATAAGTGGTGCAGTGGTCACATCAGTCCATCCGTGTCCCTATGTGGCTTCTCTACACGAACCCGGGCTTCCTCCCACAGTTCTGAGACATCCATGAGGATGAATGTTTGTCTGTCTTACAAGTGTCAGACATGCAGCAGAACTTATGAGCGGATGCACACATAAACACTGGTTAAAGGCTTGTTTTGTTCAACCACTATTCTTCAGCTGGACACATCGAAACAGAGTTTGAAGATGTTCAGAAGATAAATTTGGAGGACAATGAAATTCTTTCCTCAGTATCAAAGAAGCCAGACTTCTGTTGTTGTACCATCAGGCTTTTTCCACATCCTAGAAGAAAACTCTGCAAGAAAACATCCTCCTAACTGCAGCTGTTCAAAGGCTGCTGGCTCATATCAATCAGTCAATCAGGAGTCAGTTGTGGCCAGTGACATCCACGACGCTGTTGCATGCTGGGGCAGCGGGTTGAGGGTCGCAGATGCCAACAGACTAAATAAACTGATTCACAAGGCCAGTAATGTTGTGGCGATGGAGCTGGACTCTGTTAGGGTGGTGTCTGAGAGGTGGATGTTGTCCAAGATTAAGACAATACTGGGCAATACCTCCCACCCACTCCATGACGTACTGGGTAGCCACAGGAGCACGTTCAGTGGGAGACCGAGATGACCCAAAAGCACCACTGACCAACACAGGAAATCATTCCTGCCTGTGGCCGTCTCCCTGTACAACTCCTCCATCTAACACACTGTAAACACTGCAATAGTTACACCCTGTTTTTGCACACCCTCTTTCTACTCAGTAATATTGCTGCCAGTATTCTTGATATTTATTTATAACCACCTCTGTCAATCCCATTATGGAGTGATTTGTGTATATATTGTGCTATTTCTTAAATCTGTAACATATTAAATGGTTAAATAGTCTAGCCTGTTTTTCTTACTGTTACTGTACTGGAGCAACTGTAACTCACATCATTTTCCTTAAAGTATGCTGATTCTGAAATTGCAAACAAAATATTTTACAAACTTCAAAGAAAAATAATTGAATTAATTAATTATACTTTAATTAATTAGCTACTTAATTACTTCCATTTTTAATTCGTTAATGACATGTGTTTAATTAATTGTTAAATGATGTCATAATTTGACTTATTTTGGCAAGTGAGGCCCTCCATAGACCATGGAAGCTCGTTTATTGCTTCGCACTCCAGACCAGCAGGTGGCGATGATGCGGATCGGAGGTGGTGGAACAACGGAAGTACAGTCAGACAAGAAGAAGAAGCAGCTGCAGAAAAAGAAGGATAAAAATTGAAGATCCGCTTCAGCGCAACCGTCCAGCCTACCCAAGACTTCCAGCACGGGTTTGTGGCCTGAGCTCGTCCGGAGGAAACCACCGCGTTTGCGCCTGAGGTTAGCCCGCTATGTCCCGGACGCTCATTAGGCGCGTGCGGAGGCAGCTGCATACCTGAAGCTGACACGTGTGAGACGGGCTGGTGGAGACAACGCGAGCCCACTGCGCCACACGAAAGTGTCTCCACCACAGCCTGAAAACACGAATTTAGACTCGCAGTCAAAGTTTAAGTGTCGACGTGACGTACTCATTAAACACGGTTTATCTGCGATAATAATATTATTCATTTTAATGTTGCAGCTGCAGATGGTTTGAATGAATTCCCCTCTGCTGCAGCATCATGTAGAACATCTGTAAAATAAGAAGGAAGTAAAACTTTAAAGTACAATGTTTGCATATTAACAAGTACATCCAAAGTTTACTTCAGTAAGGTACTTGAGTAAATCATGTTGCATCACATTGTAGTGCAGAGAACAGTTTCACAGTTTTGTGTGGATCTGATATTTGCCATTTCATTGCCTTTAACCTTTTTTTCACATTTTACCTGCTTTTATGGAGAAACTTCCTCATGTGTGCGCAGCAGATTCTTCTTCAGGTGATTTTTATAAAGCAGCTCACATCCCCAGGTTGATTCAATTCAATTCAAAATGTGTTTGTATAGCACATTTAAAAGGAACAGAGTTAACCAAAGTGCTTCACAACAGGTTAAGAACAAGAAAAAACAATAGAGAAACAAATACAGATAAATGACAATAAATTAACATTAAAAACACCAAACAGGCCTGATGGTACTCAAACTGAACTTGAATTAAAAGCAAAGTAAAAAGTGAGTTTTAAGACGTGATTTAAAAGACTGAATCTGGCTGGACGATCTGGGTGCTCTTTTGGGGTCATACATGTTGAGGAGTTCGTTTAAATAACTGGGCGCCATATTATTTAAAACTTTAAAATTAAGTAAAAGAATCTTAAAATCAATATGATACTTTACAGGGAGCCAGTGTAAGTTTGCTAAAACTGGAGTGATGTGTTCATACATTCTAAGACCTGTTAAAAGACGTGCAGCAGCATAACTGCAAGCGATGGAGAGTGTTGGAGACCCAAACAGAGGGAACTGCAGTGATGAAGGCATGAATAAGTGTTTGTAGGTCTCCTGGGGGAAGATCAGGCTTAGCTTTGGCAATTTCACATAACTGATAAAAACTTGTTGTCACATCTGTGGACACTTGCTTCTCTAATTTAAAGGAGATATCTAAAACCACTCCTTACAGTGAGAGAAAGATGAGAAGCTAGAGGACCGAGGGTATCGGCTAACTTGTTCAAAGAGGCGTGAGTTCCAAAAACCGACACTTCAGTTTTATTTTCATTTAGTGTAAGAAAACTCTGTGTTGACCAGTCTTTAACATCATGTAAACAGTTAAAGGCTGCACTGGGACTGAGACGTCCAGTTTCAAGGGGAAGTAAATTTTGATTTCATCAGCATAACAGTGAAAGGGAATGTTGTATTTCCTAAAAATAGATCCCAAAGGCAGGAGTCAAACCTAAAAGGACTAAAACACAGAGCAACCCGAGTCGACGGTTAAAAGAAGACCATTAAAATCTCGTAAAAGCGCAGTCACAGTACCAGTGATGGGAATAACGGCGTTGACTGTCTAGCACCACACCTGGAGCTCAGGGGGCAAAAGAATCACATGAGTGCTGCTGTTTGACTGAGGAAGGATAAAGGAGTCGTGGTCAATCACATGACCACTTACAGACAAAGCAACAAGGTGACATATACCAGTTTATAAACTGTGTTGATTGGCCAGTAAAACCAGAGTCATGATAAACGCGTGTTTGTTCCTCAATAGTTTCATGTTGACTGTCTGAGGACAGCAGCGAGACCTCTCTGCTTATGAGCTGCTGTCAGACCTGCAGGTATCAGGCTGTGATCTTCTCCAGACTCTGGGATCGTTGTTCATAAATGCTGAATTTATTTCCATCTGAAAAGGGACCGAGCCACAGTCCAGGTCTTTTTCTTGGGTGTGTCCATATACTGCATCAGCTGTTATCATAATCTGAGATTCTGGGCTCTGTAGGTCTTTAAAATACAATGAAAATAAATCATGATCCTGAGATGAAGGAGTGCGTTTCTACTCACGCGTGTTCAGAGTCAGTGACGAACACGTTCTTTATTATCTACAGACTTTTATGTCATGTTTATGTTTAGGATTGAATCCTGAATCTACGAGATAAAGGGTGGAGTCGAAATCTGAAAACACAGACGGAGGCTGATGTGATGGTGGGATGAAGACGATCTGAGGAAGAGGAGCTCGGTCCTCCTTCAGCCGCTGCAGAGGAACAATGGGCTCTTCAAAGAAGGTGAGGAGTGCACCTCGGTGTCAGTGATGTGCTCTGACACAAAACTGTTGATGATAGATTTTGATGGAGCGCAGCTCCCCGTTTCATCATAAACAGTGTGTGTGTCTGTGCGACGTGATGCTACAAATAACAGCTAAATCCAAATTTGCACACGTTACACATTTCTTTGTCTGCTTACAGATACAAAGCAAAATACTCTGTGCTTAGCTTCCCTGACTGTGTGTGAGTTTCAACTTATGAGTAAATTTACAAATTTTACAATCCAATCAGAGAGCAGATGAGTTTGGCTGTCGGAGGGGTGTTTTACTGAGCTTCAGGTCCTTCATCACAACGAAGCACAACAGTCTGTGCGTGTCTGAGTTCGGTGATTAGTGTGTCACAGGTTTATATGCTTGCACAAAGACCTCCAGAGCCTTTTCAACAGCTCTGTGGACCTCAGGGGGAAGGAAGTGTTGTGGAAAGGACACTCTTCACTAGCCGGGATAGTTACAAAGCTTTCTTTCATTATGAATGAGTTGTTTCCTATTGAACATTTGAACATAATACAACAGAAACTGTTGTAGAGGATATAACGTCAGAGATATACGCGTTTTGAAATGACAAGGAGCAGGTGCATCTAGTACACGTAGAGCTGCTGCAAAAATATGACCCCAAGTGAGTGCAGTGACACCCCATCTGTTGTGAATGGGCCTTTATGCTGCGCACTGTGACTCACAGCAATGGTCCCTGGTCAGTCCTGACTTTGTGTTTAAGTAATACTAAAGTAGTAAAGGTATTTCTGACCACTGACATACCACAACTTTATCCTTTCAACAGCTACAGTTAAGGGACCTAGCTTGTATGACCCCTACGGGATGTTTATATAGAGATCCTCCAGCCTCAAACTGTATTACCCTTCCAGGACTCGAGGCTCAGTAAAGCACCCCTCCGACAGCCAAACCCAAAGACTGAGTAAAACATTGCACTTGTAAGTAGGGCTGGGCGATATGGCCTAAAATTCATAAGGTGATATAATTTGAAGCATGTGCGGTAACGATATATATCGTGATATATTCTTTTCTTCTGTATAACGTATTTTCCACACTAAAAATCCTTGAATCTTCTCAAAAATCGAGAGTGTGCCTTATGTATGAATTCTGGTTGTGCTTACTGACCTCGAACCGATTTCGGCTGCAGAAATCTGTTAAAAAAATGTTTTAGTACAACTTTGGTAAGCTGCACAGCTTGATGGATTGTCAGAGCATTATGGCTGCCACAGTGAAAAGCTTCGCGGAGTAATCTGGGTCCAAAACTCCGTCAACTTCAGGTCCCAAAGTCAAACGAATACTAAGAGTTAAAAACGGTCTAAATTCTTTCATCTTTAATTAAATCATCAGCGTTGCTGCTTTATCGGGTGTAACAATTAAGTTTTACATCCATGAAAACAGAATTTATTAAATTTAACAGAGACAGAAGTTAACAGGAAGTTAGCTCGCTAGTTTACACCTAAACATGACATGTTCTAAGAGATTTTTGAAACTAATTCAAACGTACAGCTCTGCTATCACTTCCAACATAAATGAAGACAGAAAACTAAACAGCAGTGACGTTTGAGGGGTTACTGAAGTCTGACTACCTGGTATATAATGTTGTGCTACGTGATTGCTAGCGACACAGCTATGTTAGCATAACATTAGCACAATGAAGCTGGAGGATGAACGCCAACTTCTCTTCCACTCGATAAAAGTGCTTCATCTCTTTGCTATGACTGTTGCTTGGCATAATTTGCAGATGATAATGGTTGTATTGTCATGCAGTGACATATGACAGCAGCCGCTGCGATGCTTTAGACCAAAACAGGCGCAGCTTGATGACATCATCAACATGCGCTATCGCGATAGAGCGATATAGTCAAAATCTCTATCGTTGGCCAAATTTATATCGTTTCTATCGCCCACCCCTACTTGTAAGTTGAAACTCACACACAGCCAGGAAACCTGAGCGCAGAGTTTTACACTTAGTTTTGTGTATGAAAACAAAGGCACTGCGCATCCGCGTTTTACCCATATTCTATTGCGATATTTCATTTTCTTATCATTGCCTAACATTATAATGGTATCATCATGAACTGTATGATGTGGCCCAGCCCTAATCACACAAAATGTCACAAAGATGGGTCTCACCTTTTTCTCATGAGAGAACAATGTGGTTTAAGGTTGACTATGAATACTTTGCACTCACTGTCTCTACTCCTCAATCAATCAATCAGAACTTTATTCGCCACATGCAAGTTGCCCTGCAGTGAAATGGGACACCCCCCCCCCCGACCTTACATACACAACACAGACATCATTACGGAGAAACATAGAAATGTACAATACAATGAGAAAGTCCAAGAGTGATAAAAGAGACCTCTGCTCATGCTGGGCTCCTATGGGAGGACAGCATGAGAACAGAAAACAAACAAACAAAAAATAAATCTGTATCTGTTTGTTGTTCCAGAAATGTAAAAGACAAAGCAAAGTGAGAACTCAGCGATCTCAGGATGATAAGGCTTCCCCAGCAACAAACAAAGACAAATCACACCCCTGCGAAGAATGTGGAAAGACTTTTCCCACTGCAAAACAGCTCAGAAACCACCAACGCATCCACTCTGGAGTGAAACCCTTCAACTGTGAGCACTGTGAAAAGGCTTTTATCACAGCAGCAGCTCTAAGAATTCACACACGTATTCACACTGGAGAAAAACCCTTCAGCTGTGACCAGTGTCAAAAGACTTTTCGTCACACATCTGCCCTCACGGTACACAAGCGCACCCACACTGGAGAAAAACCATATCCCTGTGATCAATGTGAGAAAGCTTTCCCAGTTTTATGTGCTTTAAAAGAACACCAGAACACCCACACTGGAAGGAGACCGTACTCCTGTGGCCAGTGTGGAAAGTCATTTAATCATATAGCAGCTTTGAAAAGACACCTGCGCATCCACACTGGAGAGAAGCCATACACCTGTGAGGAGTGTGGCAAGTCCTTCAGTATACTCAACTACCTGAAGGTACATAAGAGAGCTCACACTGGAGAAAAAAGGTTCTGGTGTGATGAGTGTGGGAAAGGATTCACAAAACAAAATAGTCTCAGAGAACACCAGAACAGCCATGCTGGGAAAAAACAACATTCCTGTGACCAGTGTGGAAAAGCTTTCTGTTGGACAGCCAGCCTCAAAACACATAAGAAAATACATGAAAATGTGAAACAGTACCTGTGTGAGATATGTGGAAAAGCTTTCCTCTTGAAAGGAAATCTAAAGAAACACAGTAAACTTCATACAAGGGAGAAGCGTTACTCTTGTGACCAGTGCGAGGAAGCTTTCACTTCATCAGCTGAGCTCAGAAGGCACCAGCGAGTCCACTTTGGTGATAAAGTATACCGCTGTGATAAGTGTGAGAAAGGATTCACACAGTCCGGCAACCTCAAAATTCATCTACGCACTCACACTGGAGAAAAACCATACAAGTGTACCCAGTGTGAAAGAGCTTATGCCAAAAAACGTAGCTTAGCAGTGCACCTAGTTGCCCACTCTGGAGTGAAACTACATTCCTGTGATGAATGTGGGAAGGAGTTTGCTCATTTGGCATACCTGAAGAGGCATGAGCTCGTTCACAGTGGAGTGAAGGCACACAGCTGTGAGCTGTGTGGAAAGGCTTTTGTCAGCAAGAATAACTTAAAAAATCATCAACACAGGCATACTGGATTGAAACCATACAAGTGTGATAAGTGTGGGAAAGCTTTTTCCTCCAAGCAAGTCTTAACTCTCCATCAGCATACCCACTCTGGACTCAAGCCATATCGCTGTGACCTTTGTGGAAAAAACTTCAGCCAGAAAGTGACCCTGAAAAGACACAGACGAATGCACACGGGAGAGGATCTGTACTGCTGTGAAGTATGTGGTAGATGTTTTCCTTTGTATTCTGGACTAGAAGTCCACAAAGTTACACACACAGGGGAGAAACCGCATCGCTGTGAACAGTGTGGGAAGGCTTACAGCCATTATCGCAGCCTTATAATCCACAAACGAGACCACACTGGGGAGAGACCAGTCAAATGTGACCAGTGTGGTATGCGTTTTAAAAGTTCCAGCTCTCTGTGGCACCATCGACAGATTCACAAAGGAAAGAAACCAATTAAGTGCCATCACTGTCAGGTATTTGGAATGGATTTCAAGAAATGTTTTCTGAAATCTTTTTTTTCATATCATATTGTTTTAAGTATTTTAGACATTAGACAGTAAGTGCGGAGTCAGTGTGTTAGATGTGAGAAGTAAATACCTCAGATCTCAGACTGTAACTGATTATGCAGCTTTTTGTTAGCTCATTATTCACTGTAATTTATAAACCCAAGATTGTTTTCCTTATAACCTTTGGTAATTGTTTCAGAAATGGAGCAGCACATATGGCTCAAATCCTCGACGCTGTCAGCATTGTGGCAATAAACCATACCGCTGCGTCCAGTGTGGAAACACTTTCAGCCAGCTGTTAACCTTAAGAAGACACCAGAACATGCACACTGGACACAAACTGAACTATTGCAAAGAATGTGGGAAAGGCTTCCCAACACTGGGTCTATTAAAATGCCACAAAATTGTCCACAGTGGGGTTAAAGGTCATGTCTGTGATGTCTGTGAGTCATCATTCACCAACGCAGGTAGTCTCCGAAGACACAAACGAATTCACACAGGGGAGAAACCATTCAAGTGTCGACATTGTGAGAAAAGTTTCACATCCTCAGGTCATCGCACGCTTCATGAACGTGGGCACACTGGAGAAAGACCATACTCCTGTGACGAGTGTGGGAAAAGCTTCAGACATTCAAGATCTTACCGCATACATCACCTCATCCACACCAAAGAGATAATAATTCCTTGTGAAGTTTGTGGAAAGATATTCAACTCCCTGTCTTCATTTGAGTACCACGAACGTACCCACACTGGGGAGAAACCTTTTAAGTGCAAACACTGTGACAAATCCTTTATTTCAGCATCTATGCGCGCACGACATGCACATGTTCACGACAAAGAGCAACAGTATGACTGTGACCAGTGCGACAAGAGTTTCAGGACTCACAATTCCTACACCATTCACAAGCGCAGCCACATTGCAAATAAGCAGTTTTATTGTTACCAGTGCCCAAAAATATTTGCTTCATCGCGAGGTCTGTGGAAACATCAGGTCAAACATGCTGAGCAGAAATCATTTCCTTCACTGGATAAAAGGAAGTGCCTCGAAGCATCTAGCCAGACTTATGGTCTCAGACTTAAAACCCTCGAGATCAGGCTGCACAGAATAGATATAGATTCCTGAGATTTCAGTTAGTGTCACGTTTTGTGTACTGTCTTAACTTTCAGTACCTTTAAAGTTCGATAGCAGTACAACAAAGTGGTACATTAGATTATCCATTGTTTGATGACCTTATTGGTCTGTTGTGCAGTGGTGCTAGTTTCTCTATAGGCCCTGAGAAAACCAGTAAAAATGTGGTTTAGAGATTGAAATGATAAAAAGAAATATTGTTAACCACTTAAGCCCCACACTCCCGGTACCGGGGGCAAAAAGGAGATCACGTTTAATCGGTTATAACGCGGGTTGAGAAATATAAGTCCAGACATGTGTGGTATCCACAGAAACCTCAGAATCTCAGCTAAAACGTCATAAAAACCATTTCTACAACCACCAAACACACCAAAAACAAGCCGTGATTAAACGAGCAGTTACGTAAATGCGCAGAAGTCCGCTAAACAAACAAAACCGAACCAGAAATTCTTCAGACTTCGTGTAACCAGCTAGAGATAGGCTGGTTAGCTTCCAGGGCTATCACTGACTGCACACACCAAGTTTCACCACGATCAGACCAAAATTCACTGAATGAGCCGTAAAAGAAGACCACAAAAACACACAGCAGCGCAATTGCGCTAAGACAAAAATTGGCTTACCGTCCCGATTTCCTCCGTTATTGTAGCCGGTAGCCATGTGAACAGTAGTTACCATACCTACCTAGCCGCATCAGAGCAGTTTTCCGTCAACAACCTCCATTTTAGACCCACCTACAGACACGTGACTGAACAGACGCCACATGCTGTAAATTTGGGCCCACGTGGGTTTTGGCATCACAACGTGCACACACAACGTGAATCTATTGGCTTAAACGATTAAAAAGAGGTGTCAATCACGCAAATTGACCAAAAGAAACCGAAGTTACAGCCCCTCAGAGTTTAAAGGGCCAGAGGCCAATCAAACGCTCCAGGCGCGCTGCAGAAAAGGCCATTACCATGTAAATGTGTGGTTAATTCTTCAAAAAAAATGTTTTTTTTAAAAAAAGCATTTTTAGGCCTGTTAATACAATTTGTTAATTTCTGCTCTTTAAAACCTAAAAAAAATCAACTGGCATGGTGTCCAATTGTGTGCCAAAATTGGACATTTTTGTACAATGTCTGGATATTCATGTCTTGACAGGGCTGTAATTTTTCACTGTTTCACTCTAGAAACATGAATCTTTGCACAGATGATGTTTATATGTTAATTACTGAATTTCTGGAACCAAATGTGATCTGAGGCATATTTTTCAAATGCTAAAAATTAAAAAAAAAAATTAGGCGAGGATAAAATCTACTTACTTTTTCTGTGTTCCAGTCTCAGTAACTTTGACACAGTAATATCTGCTTCAATATTTACACCTCTGATGAAATTTCCCAAGTGTTAGCTTTATTTTGATACCAAGATTGTAAGGACAGTTTGTAATTGCCGAGAAATAATATAATAATTAAATTTGGGCATTACATTTTCGAGCAGGAAGCTCAGAAACCCCCTTGGGGCTTAAGAGGTTAAATAAGCAAATTAAATTACCTCCAGGACTGTAAGGGGACTTAAGCCTAAATGAAAGAAACACTTGGGCCTTTGTTAATGTTTCATGTTCCATTAGCTCAGTCAGTCAAAGTTTAGACAGAATGTTTTGGTTTGGTTAGATTCACACAAGTTCTTATTAGATAAAACTGTTCAAACTGGAAACAGTCTGAAAAAATTTACCAGTGCTAGAATTTTTCAAACCAGCAACTGCCAGTCAGTGGAAATGGAGTATTTGCATATGTTTAATACACTTCCTCTGGGTGGTTATAAAAGTTTTAGTTGCATACTTTTAATTTAGTTTTAGTTTACCTTTATGTTCTTTGTCAACACTTCCTTTGGATTTTAGCAACATTTGAACATTGCTAAGGGTGATGCAAGCGTGAGTCTCCATAATAATTATTGCCTCAGACAACAGCATTGTGGTTTAGCTGTCAGAAATTGTATTATTTGTGAACCTTTCTTGTTTTGCTACTCAGAATTTGTAAAGAAGATAAGACTTAACCTTTTGTAGGGGACTGAAAAAAAATGAAAAGTATTATTGTTATTTTAATAAGTGTGGTTCGTCATCTCGTAAGGCTGTTGAGGAAATTTACTCACCATTTGAATAAAGTTCTGAATGAAAAAAATACTGGTTTGTCAAGTTGTGAAAATTCCACTTAATTATTATTAAGTAGATCAGAAACAGCTTGTGGCTGGATTATTCCTAAATCTTCAAAAAGCATTTAAGAAAAAATCAACCATGAAATCGTAATTAATAACCACTATTAAACGATATGGGATGGATTATTTACATCTAATTTTACAATCAGATGTAAATAATTTTACATCTGATTGTAAAATTATTTAAGGGACAGGAAACAATTTGAAAGTTGGGAGAATATTCCTCATCATGCTTGTGGTGTTCCTGGAGGTTCTGTACTTGATCCATAAGGATTCAGTATTTATTTAGTTATTTGTAAAGTATCTGATTCATTAAAACCAGTTTTATGACACAAATATTTGTTTTTTCTGGGCGAATAATTTTAATTTTACTTAAAAATTAAAATCATCCTGTTTGGGAATTGTCCAACTAAAGTGCAGACTCACATAGATGCTGTGGAAATTGAAAGAGTTCAGCATAGGTAACAAAAATAGATGATAAAATAAGATGGAAATCTCATATAAAACATACATAACACAGTTCCAAGAAACATTTCAATATTGAGTAAAGCAAAACACATTCTGCTTTCACTTTATATGAATTATTGTGCAGAGGTTTGGGCCAGTACTTAGAAATGCTCACTATCATCATTGTCCATATAACAAATAATAAGGGCCATAAGGATCATACTCGTTACAGAGATCCATAAATATGTTTACCTCCTGGCGCACAATGTAAACATGTAAAGAAAGGATTTATGATTGGATACGATGTAAACAGGAAGAAAAGGGTGATGATTATTGGTACAAAAAGAAAAAAGATGGGGGGTTACACAGGCTCATGCTTCTCCACATTATTTATTAGGATTATTCTGTTTTGCTTTTTCTCTGTTGTGATTAATTGTGTTTTTTCTTTTCTTTGATGTTCTTGTATTATTTCAACATGTTCAAAATAAAGCCACACAAACAAACAAATAAGCAGTAGATTTATAGTTTTATGTATTACAATATTTAATTTAATCTTTCTTTTTTTCCACATCTAGCCACCCATTTATCTTCTAGCACTTATCAAGGTCATGGGGGATGCAGTCTCTGCAGGGATGCCCAGGCCCAACTCCTGCTGGAAGAACACCAAGGAGCTCTTTTCAGTGCAGCAGCATGACTTTATTTTGGGTTAACATAAAAAAGTGATCACATCTGCTGGGTCAAAAATGTGCAACAGCAGTAGTGATGTGACGTTCTGTATCGAGGCTTCGAAGCTTGTGTCGAGTAATTGAATCAGAATCAGAATACTTTATTGATCCCTGGGGAAATTATTTTTTGTTACAGTGCTCCATTT